CATCCCTTGTTTGCCTGGTCTTTATTGTAGTGATGCTGAATCAGCATCCATACAATAATAATAATAATACATATTTGGATAACATAGTATGGATGCTGATTCAGCATCCATACAAACTGTGCACAGTGGGACCACTGTCATATCTGTTAGGAGAGGAGAGGAGCTATTCACAACAGGGCCACCCTCACAGGCTGCATTACAATGAAACTTTATGCAAAATGCAAACATTATTTGGCTTTAGACTGCTGGGTGAACTTGATATAGATCTGAAAGTCAATAAGAGCTACACTAACAAGATTTGGCTGAGGAAAAGTAGATGTATTATTTCATGAAATATCCTGGGCACTCTTTCATGACACACAGTGACCATACACCAGTATGGACTAGACAGAGAAAAATGTCTCTAAGCGCTGTTTTGTAAAAGATAATGAGGCACTTGTGGACAACAGTGACCAATTAAGCTGCACTGACACAAAGTAAAATTATTATGGTGGTATTATGGTGGGGAGTCCCGGGGATTTTCACAGCACCATGTTTGAAAAATGTGTGTAATGGCCATATGGAGAAGTGCAACATGGGGGATTTAACAAGCATCTTGAAAAGCAGAGTAATTTTTTCATGCCTAGAAATTTACAAAACACCTACTCCTCTCACCTTTAAGTTTTTTTTTGTGAGGGGGTCTAAATGATACCCTTCTCAGCTGTTGCAGCTGGTGGTTTGAAGTGAGCAGTAAAGTGTAATTGGTGTAACTTTTGTCTGGTTATTACTTACCACTGTGACCATGAACCAAGAGTTATTTTAAGACACCCAAATTGTAGGGGTGTGTACCTCTCCCTCTCACACAATTAGATATGTATCTCAATACATGGTCCATGATTAGATATGAAAATGATACTGCAAAATTTGTTATGATACAATACAGTATGATTTAGAGTGATTTTGATTCAGTTCAGCAGATAGTTTTAATTTAGCTTTTATTTGAAAGACTATACATGCTTTAAACTATCTGTTCACCTTATCATTCAGAGCTGGAATCCATTTTTCACATAAATCCTGCTTACTTGTTTTTGTGTGCCTCGGCTTCGGAATCACTGCCAAATTCCACATTTTCAACAACACAGGCATGTGTCTTTGCAAATGAAATAGCTTATAGTTTCAGTCATTGACTTCGACCCAACTGGGTGGTCGTATCAGCTGATGTGCTGTGAAAGCAGCTGCTAACAACATTAGCACTGTTACTTTTCTCAGACTGAGTTCCCTCGCAACAAACTATCCTGTTTCCATCAGTTCAAAAATGGGTCACCTTTGTTGCCAGATCTGTGTTACTCCTCCCGGTATACTCCACACAAGCGCTGCATGTTCTGCATTCTGAAGTAGCTGCTAAAACTAGCACTGTTTGCTTCTGCAACTATCCATAGGAGATGCCCCTGACTGCAGCTAAGGGCTGATCTCAGGGCGGGGTCCAATGTTTGACTCTGCCCAGATTGAGCTTGGCCCCAGCTTTCTTCTTCTCCTTTGTCTGAGTTTATTATCTAGGAAAATAGCTCCCCTCTTATTTGTTTAGAGGCCAGTCTTACCTGGACCAATATGATGGCGATGTTGAGGTAGTATCCAGCAGTCAATGCTAATAATGTGTCGTTCACGAACGATTCATTCATTTTGAACGAATCTTTACCATGACTCGAAAACATCGGGTCATCTCGGTGAGTGATTCGTTCATTTTGTTGACCGCGCATGCGCAACATCGCATAAGCTCAGTATTACTGACAAACCGGTCATGTCACATTACAAAAATGAACGACTCGAAACCGAGGACTCGAAAGGCGTACTAATCTTTTTAAGATTAGTACGCCTTTCGAGTCCTCGGTTTTGAGTCGTTTGTTTTTGTAACGTGACATGACTGCTTTGTTGGATACAGAAATTAGTTAATTTTCAACCGTCCTTAGTTTTTTTACTCCTACTGTTACGTGATGCGTTTATTTTTTTTATAAAATTGCTTTTTATTTCCTACAGACTATAATTTTGTGAATATGGTTCTTTTCCGTAACACTGAATGTATTAAATAAAGAGTTGGTCAATGCTTTAAACTTCATCAGGGAAAATCTTTCTTTCTTTCTTGAAAATGCAACAAAATGAGTCCAAACCACTCCTTTTTCTGGTGCTCATTCTCCTGATGTGTTAAAATCCTTCTGAAGTCTCTTCTCTGCTGAAGTGAATGAAATGACTGAAAAAAGATTCATTCATTTTGCTGAACGAGATTCAAAGAACCAAATCAGTAAAATGATCCGAACTTCCCATCACTAGTCGATGCTAGGTGAAGGGCGGATTCAAATGTCTGTCCTCGCCCACCTTGAGCTTGGCCCCAGTCTGCATGCTGCTGCTAGGGGTACTTAATCTGTACTGTGTGTAGCGGTTTTCCTGGACCTGCGTCGTTAAGAAGGAGACATGTTTGAATGCTGGCAAAGCAAGAAGTAATGCAAAACGTGCCAAAGATAGGTTTATGAAGTTCAAATCGATTTTAGGCAGTTTGGTTCAAATCTATGGTTTTCAACCAATGCAGCCGTAAATCTGACTTTTGTTTCAGTTTTCCCATTTATATTGTGGTCTATCTTTTTCACCCCTACCAAATTATGAGCCTTTTTTACACTACCCGTTCTTTATGTAGTTGAGGTCATTGGGTTCAGTAAAAACTAACTTTTTACTTAGCCTATATGGTATTTGTGGACTGAATGAATTGCGTAGTGGTGTGATATGTTGACAGTATTCTGAAGACAGATCGATGCCTCTGTATTTGAAAAAATTAAACATTATTAAATAATATGACACTTAATTGCAAGTTCTCCTTTCCTGCAAATTTGTTTTGTTTTTTGTTCTTCATCTAAAAAAAACACAATTCAGCAAGTGACCCCATATATGTGGTTGTGTAGAGATTTTGTTGAAATGAATTGACTTCACAGTTGTAAATTTTAGTGTTAGTCTGTAATGTGAAAAATTAAATACACTTATTTTCAGAACATAAAATGTAGGCACATTATATGTTACTGTGGATCTAAATTGCAGTTCTTAAATACTGCATAGAAGATCAACTATTTTTAAAGCCATTTTACAATAAAAAAATGTCCTTGAATTAGAATGTATTTATCAATTGTTCATATATTTACTTAGCAAACACTGACATCAAAACAAACAAAAATTATATTCATTCATTTTTTATCATAACTGCTCCAATTTCTTAAATTAAATAAATAAAATTAAAATTTCTTCACCTTCCCATGGCTCAGGTGATTAAAATGATAAATGGTCCCAGCAGGTATTAGTTAGATACACAGATAGGGAAACACACACACACACAGCTAGGATGGCAGTAAATGGCAGAGTGAAGTTAGTTCAGGACCCTCAGGCGGTCTAAAAAGTCATCACATTTGTAAAAAGATTTGGTTATCACAGGCACCCAAACTCATTATCACGGTAGTACATATGTTAAATATTGCAGAACTAAGAGAAAAAGAGATGGAGGAAGCTATAGAGGTTGAGAAGGCAGAAGGATGAAGAGGAAGAGACAAAGATGCAGACACTAAGAAGGGAATAATCAATCAATCATAATCTCTATTGCCAAGTATGTAAAAAAAATAAAAAAAAAAATACAAGGACTTTGAGTCCAGTTCAGTGGCCCCCAGTGTGTACCAAATAAAGTAGAACAAAAAAAAAGTAAAAACTAGAAAAAAAAATTTATTGATAAATATATGTACTGTACATATACACAAGTTAATAAACAGCTGCTTGGTGTGTAACATGATTATGTCTATAAGTTATATCACTATAGTGTTTGCTGAAACTTGTTATCCATGTAAACATGAATTAACTGTTTTTGAGAGTGATGGCCCGGGGAAAGAAACTCAGAATCAGAATCGGCCTTATTGGCGAGGTGTTACTGTGAGTGTGGTGTGGACCCCAGTAGCAGACACAGACCAGGAGGAGTAGGAGCTAAAGAAAGTGGTTTAATGAACAACAACACAGGTAAGGCTGGGTGGTAGGAAGACGAGAAGACCACCAGGGAGGGACGAGCAGGAGACCCGAGAGGACCAGGAGGGACAAGGAACGAGGAACCAGGAAGGACGCAGAAACCAGAGGATGAACAGGAGAGCCGGCAGCAGGGGAGACACAGGAACCAGAGGAAGAGCAAGGGAGCCGACACCAGGAGGGACACAGGAACCAGAGGATGAGCAGGAGAGCTGGCAGCAGGGGAGACACAGGAACCAGAGGAAGAGCAAGGGAGCTGACACCAGGAGGGACACAGGAACCAGAGGATGAGCAGGGGAGCCGACACCAGGAGGGACACAGGAACCAGAGGATGAACAGGAGAGCTGGCAGCAGGGGAGACACAGGAACCAGAGGACGAGCAGGAGAGCCGACACCAGGAGGGACACAGGAACCAGAAGACAAGCAGGTACGTAGGCAGCAGCCAGGAGGACCAGGATGACAGGTGAGTCGACAGACGAGTACATAGGGTCGTGGAAGTAGTAAAGACACACAGGGTAGCAGTATCAGCAATCAGGAAACTGAAGGATGATGACAGAGGGCTTATGCACTCACAGAAACAGCGAGCTTGATGACTGACCCGCATGTCAGCAGCTCTGATAACGCCGTTGACATGCGGAAACAAACAGGAACAGGACGGGAACACGGAGTCGAACAAACAGGACACGAATACATGTAATGCTAACCAGGTAGCGTTGCATAAATGTAAGGTTATGATATGGTATGAACCAGCAAAGAGGCAGCAGAAGACGGTGTATATATACCTGACAGGACCGGGAGACAACGAGCAGCAGGTGGGAGAAATGATGGCTGATTGCAGAGAGATACTGCAGGTGACCAGACCGGGAGATCAACAGGTGAATGATATGGCGACTAATTGCGGTGACGGAGCAGCGGGGAGAGAACAGGTAAACAGAAACGTAAACACGGGAAGCTGAGCCGCGCGACATCACAACATGAGGAATTTGACTCTGGTACATCGGCTCTCAATGTGCAAACAGTAAACCAGCATAAGGCTGTGTAATATAACAACATAGCAGTATTAACATCAACAAACAGTGCAAAAAATGCAGAAAAAGCAGTATAAACAGACAGTAAACAATGTAGACAGCAAAGGAATGTTCACTGAAATGAGATAAATAGGGATAAAACTGAGTACTTAAAACTAGAGACCTGTACGAGTCTGTATAATCTGTACAAGGTATATTTACAGGTATTGCACTGAGGGTTACTGTCCAATCATATTGTCATGGGTTAAGTGTTAACTCAGAGCGACAGCCTGGGGGAAGAAACTGTCCCTGTGCCTGGATGTCTTAGTGCACAGTGACCTGTAACGCCGTCCAGAGGGGAGGAGTTCAAACAGTTTGTTACCAGTTTGTTATTTGAGGGGTCTGCAGAAATCTCTTCCCTTATTTGAAGCAGGAAGGGACTGCAGAAAGCTCCAATGATCAGTTGAAGATCTGTGTGAAGATGGGAGCTATCTAGTCAACACAGGCTTTCAGGCAGGAGGGGGTCACCATCTGGGTCTGGTGCCTTTATGAACTTTTGCTTTTTTGAAAAGGCCATGCCCATCATTTTCACAGTTATTCAGGGGTGGGGGGTTGCGGGGAAGGGAGGTGATCACGGGGGAGCAGCTACTGGTTGCGGGTCTGAGGTGAGGTGGGTGAAGGGTGTGGAGTTCTGTATCCGCCAATTGATAGCTCTCTGCAGCAGGGGGATGGTTTCCTGTAACCGGTGATATTCCATAGGTTTCTTCACACTGATGATGGATCATTAGTCAAAAAGTACAGTAAAACACATCCAGGTCACCTGCCAATTGATGGTCTTTCATAGCAGGGGTGGATGGTTTTCTGTAGTCAATGTTTTTCAGGCTTCGCCACACAGATGAGGGGTTGTTGGCTGAAAACTTTTTCAGCTGTTCAGAGTAGCTCCTCTTTGGTACTCTGATCTCTTTTGTCAGTGTATTTCTGGCCTGGTTATACAGGATCCTGTCCCCACTTTTATAGGTCTTCTCTTTGGCACAACAGAGCTGCTTCAGCTTCACTATGAACCAGGACTTGTTGTTGTTTTGTGTGAAGAAGGTCTTGGTGGGCACACACGTCCTCACAAAAGCTGATGTATGATGTCACAATATCGGTGTATTCATCCAGGTCTGTAGCTGCAGCCTCAAAAGCACCCCAATCTGTACAGACAACGCATGCCTATAGCTTTGACTTCGACACCTCAGTCCATCTCCTCCCTGTTCTGATCACAGGCTTTGAAGTTTTAAGCTTCTGTTTATAGGTGGAGATGAGATGGATCATGCAGTGGTCCAAAAGCCCAAAGGCTAGACAGACAGCAATAGACAGTCCTTATCACAGGGTAGCAATGGTCAAGAGTATTTTTGTCCCTGGTGGGACAGCTGTCTGTATTTGGGCAGTTCATGGTTAAGGTTTGCTTTGTTAAAATTCCCTAAAATAATGAGCAGGGAATCTGGGTATTCCTGTTCCATGTGAATTATCTGGGTTGCTAGAAGCTGCAACACATGTTTAACACAAGCCTATGGAGAAATATAAATACCGACCAGGAAAAAGGAGAAAAATTCTCTCTGTGAATGGAATGGTTTGTGGTAATGAATAATGATTCTAACTCCGTATTACAAGTTCTCTCTAATCCTGTGACACCCCTACACCAACCTTTTTTATGTAGAAGCAGATTCCACCTCCTCTCATCTTCCCAGTTAACTTCTTTACATGGTCCATACTGTGGATCTATTATCCTGGTACTGTAGCTGAACAGCTCTGTCTGGGATCAAGTCATTGAGCCACGTTTCAATGAAGCACAGAGCAGCAGAATATGAACAGTCAGAATTAGTCTGATTGACGAGAAACAGTTAATCCATTTGTTGGCTAGAGAGCGGAGATTTGCTAGACTTATAGCCAGGAGCAGCGTTTGGTAAGCCCACTGCTGTAGCCTTACCAGGGCGTCTACACAACTACTCTTCCAGCGTTTTCTCAAAGTCCCAAAGATAAACTAAAATGTACAAACAACTTTCACTATCCATAAAAAAGGGGGAAAAGATGTTCAGACTGAGCTGTTGACTAAAACTAGATTAAAACTAACAAAAATCAAAAGACTAAAATCTGACTAAAACTAATATATACTTGTATCAAAGGGTGCTTTCACACCTTAATTCGTTTGCTTTGGTCCGAATCAGTTGATGAGTTTGTAAACATGTAGCAATGTCTCCTTGGTTCGGTTTCGTTTCACACAAAATAAAATCCGAGGGCACCAAAACACGTCAAGTAAAACTACGCGAGAATGTTCTCTCCGCTTATTGGTCAGATGTGTCTGCCGCGAGAACAGAAAAAGTAAATAAAGGAAGAAAGTCCACGTTTCTGTGACGAGAGAAGATGGATGTCAACATGGAGGGCCTCGCCCTGGTTTTTTGTATTACGTTACTTGCATTTACCACTTTAACCAAGTCATACAGTTTGAAAATGAAGCGTGGTTATGGCTGGAAAACAATCTATTGATGCATTGGAGTCGCCGAAGACGCATATCCAGGCAATACAGGAGGCAGCATGCGTGGATATTAATGAACTATCATATGTTAATCAGCTGAAGATATTACCGAAGATCCATCAGGTATGTATATTGCCATCCAAATTTTGAAAGTTACAAAAAGTCAATTGTTCGATATGAACCTCGCATCTCCTTGCAATGTTTTATTAAGATCTTAAGTAATTTGTTTTATACTAACGCTAAGCATCAGCATTTTAAAAAAAATGCCAGTGGCCTAACTGACTCGAGAGTTGAGATGGTATGTTCAAAATTCTATCTTGATACAGGAGCATTTGGACATATCCACATAGTGGTAGTTGGTGGCCTTACATCTGCAACACCTGGACGGACAAGGAATGGCTGATAAATTTTAGAATGCGAAGATGCAGTTTCAATCTACTGTGTGACACTCTCCGGCCCTGGCTGACACACCAGAATACACAATACAGGCAGGCAGTTCCTGTAGAAGTTCACGTGGCTATTTGTATTTGGAGGTTGGCCACAAATCTAGAGTTCAGATCGATCTCTCACCTGTTTGGAGTTGGGATATCAATATGTTGCACTATCACTCAAGAAGTTGTGACTGCTATAAATGTTGTAATGAAGCCTCAGTACATAAAGCGTCCCTCTTTAACAGAGTTTAGGCAGATAGTGCAAGCTTTTCGAGACAGATGGAGATTCCCTCAAGTGGCTGGAGCAATAGATGGAACCCATATTAAGATCAGAGCTCCACCTGTCACAACCGTGACCCAGGCCGCCCCCTGTACCTCAGTAGCAGGCACAGGTAGTTCCAGCAGCTCCACCCCCGCACAGGTGAGGGTGCGTTCCAGGCGACGAGGCACACCTGCTCTCAATTATCGGAGCAGTATATAGGGTCGGCGTTGGTGCGTTCTCGTCGCCAGATTATCATATGTTGTCCTGCTAGTAACGCCAGTTCGTGTTCATGTCAAAAACTCAGGATTATGGACTCCTTGATCTGTGCTCCTCACTGAACGCTGTGAACAGTAATTACGCTCAGTACCGTTTCATCGTTTTTTTTGCCCTTCTTATGCTTTAAAGGGTTTTTTTGGTTTGGACTGTTTTTCTGGGGACTTTACGTTTCCCGTTCTGGGTCGGCTTTGGCCGTCTTTTGTTTTTATTTTGTTGTGTGAATTGCTCCTCCTCGCAGAGCTCCCAAGCAATCCTGGAACAGCACGGCCAACCCACGTCACACCGAGCTACCAGCGCTGCCTCATCGGGGAACCCACACACCGGACCCAGGACCTCTGGCACCAGCCTCCCCCTCCCTGGACTACTCCCTGGGCCTGCGGCGCGCTCAGCTATTCAGGTCCCCAGAGTGACTACCAGAAGCAGTCTGTACCATACACACCTGCTGCGTGTTCTTAAACTCTCACTCTTTGTTCTTACTTAGCGAGCTACGCCTCTCATACACCCCGGGAAACAGTGGTCCAGTCAACCAGTCAACCCAGTGTGCCCAGCTGCCCCGAGATCAGCGGAAGAGACCAGCTCTGTTGTTTTGTTTGTTTGTTTTTTTTCTGCGACGCATTAAAGACGTTTTTCCTTGTCTATCCTGGGTTCGAGTCTGCATCATTACTGGGTCCAAAACCACTTAACACACGGTTTACCGTAACAGTAATATAAGCTTCTATTTCTCTACAAAGCCTCTTCCGGCTCTTTTAAACCAGGAACTCACAATAAGACGAAGCAGACCGCTTTAGATTTTATAAAAAATAACCGTGCTGGTTTATTCAGAGGATCACAGGTAAAATTAACATTACACGTCCAGATCTCTCCCACCACCAACCTATCTTGGCTCCTGAAACCTTACCCTGAAGGAGGTAGAGTAACACCACAGCAGCTGAACTTCAACCACCGCCTAAGTCAAGCCCATATGACAGTTGAGCGTGCCTTTGGGCGCCTCAAAGGACACTGGCGCTGCCTTTTAAAAGAGAGTGACTCCCACATATCATTTGTAAGTCGCATTGCCTCAGCTTGCTGTGTGTTACACAATTACTGTGAGGTACAGAATGAGGAATTTTTTGACA